GTATCTATGATACAGAAATTCTACGTCCCGCCAGTCCGCAGCAGTTTTTCCCCACGCGAAGACCCAACCCGGTCTGGGCTCACAAATCCCATAGGTGAAGAAGATGGTTTCTCAGGAGTGGCCACCAGGTGGCGGTGCGACACCATCCTCACCTCTGTACCTCGCCTTAGGGTAGCGAGCAAGGTGGGCCAGCTCGGAGGGGCTGGCGGATGGTTGGGAGCCTCGTGGTGACCACCATGGCCAAGATGGGGCCCAGGCACTGAGCCCTGTAGTTGGGGTTTCCAGTGAATGCCCACGAGGGGGTCTTTTGAAAGGACCCTCGCTGAGCTGTAGAGCATCTTCTCGCTGACATCTGAAATTGAGTCCCTTCATTTTAATTCAGTTTATCAAGGAACTATGGAGGCTCAACTCTGGCCAACAGCCCTCTGTTTCCCTCCCTCTGTTTCAGACAAGGTTGGGCAGGAGGACAGGAAGGCCATTGGGCTCCACTCATGTCCAAGGAAGACCTGCTTAGGCATTTAATGTTATATCCAAATTAGGCTGTACCTAGGATCGTTACATTTCTCCTGGTGTCAAATCTGTTCCATGAGAAATACTTCAGTTATACTACTATTTTGTACTCTCTTTTAGCATATCTTCTTCTTTCTTCTTCTTCTTTTTATTATATAAGCATCTTTAAAACTTGGAAGTGTCCAGTGCTCCTCTCTCAATCTTTGAAGAACTTCAACTAAAATGCTTGCAGTCCCAGCAATATGACTCATTGGTCATGTTTTCACTCATCCTGTGGTTTTTGTTATCACGAATTCCCTCTTCTGGAACTCTTTCCTCTCCCCTGGGCTGGCTAACTCCTGTCTGTTCTTCTGGTCTCGGACTGAACATTAGCTCTTCTGCAAAGCAAGCCCTTGGGTGCTCCTAAAGCACCCAAATTTACCCCCATTGTAGTGTTTAATGCGCTGTTATTCTTGTGTCCTTCCCTGTGTCTACCAAGAGATGAAGGGTCCTCAGTTTGAGATCTACAGACCTTTAGGCCATCCATAAAGCCCCAACATTTGAATTATTTACCAACTGCCACAATAATAGTAGATCCAAACGACCACAATACCTCAGTGGCCTCCTATGCTAAGTGACTATTACTGGGGCTTCTTTCAAGGGCTGTACTTAGCTTGATTGGGCTTGTTTAAATCTTGGGATGCCTGGCTGTTGGCTGATCTAGGTTGGCCTTTGCTGGGGCAGCTGGGCTCCGTTCCCCATGTTTCTCATCTCCCTTCTGGGTGAGACAGCTAGCCCAGGCTTGTCCTTCTCGTGGTGACAGTGGAAGCACAAGATATAAAGCCCCAAAGTGCAGGCTCGTTTCAAGCTTCAGCCTCAGTCATTCCTACTAATACCCCACTCACAAAGCAAGTTCCACAAATAAACTAGCCCAAAGCAAAGTGGTGGGGGCAGGTCTTGCCAAGCTACATGGCCAAGGGCATGATGCAGAAAAAAAAAAAAGGGGGAAGGATTAGGGCTGGTGCTGCTGTCTACCAAGGATTGTATTCCAAAATACCGTATAATTTCTGGAAAGATGATCTAAGGTTTTCGCCAGTTTTTCGCCGTGACCCACATCCCCCGGATTTCAAGAACCTCCAATATCTACTCATCCTCGAATTCAGGATCTACACCGACTTAATTTTTATGTCTTTAAAGCCTAGAGTAAAACCTGGAGCATAGTAGATACGGAACAGCTATTTGTTGAATGAATGAGTAGTGAAAGAAAGAAAGAATGAATGAATGTAGGTGCACACCCTATGCGAAATTCAGGGGATAGAGAATTGAACCATAGGAGGCTTCTACCCTCAAGGAGCTTCTGAGAGAGCCTTTGGACGGGATTTGAAGTCAGGATGTGGGTGGACAGCGCTCAGCCTCAGCCAGAATAAAGTGTGCATCATTAGGAGACCTTAGGGATGGAAGTCAAGGAAGGATTATTATTCCTGGAGGAGACAGAATAAATGAATACACTTGACTTCTTCGGGTGCCAGCGTGGGTTATCATACAGAAACCATACGCTAGGCAAATAAACATATACGTGGGCTTAAAAAAAATGCAAGTGGAGACCTTATGTTTATTGGTGTCACGAAGTGAATAATGAATTTTCTTAGCAGCTCCTTCTAGAATCCTGACTCTCAGAGGAGGAAATTGGCTCGGCCCAGGAAAATATCTTGGTATGCTGCTCAGGGCAGAAGGTGAGACCCCCCTTCCCGCCAAAGGCATGGCTGTCCAATACAATGAATTGTTTGTTTTCTCCTCACACAGAAGGAGCGAGAAAAAGGGATAGAAGAGCGTGGGGTAAGGGAGGAGATAAAATCTGGGGTAGTAAATCACAGCTGAGACCCACATAGGAGAAAAGAGTAAGAAATCCCTGTAAGAAAACTGGTAAACAATGCCTGGGCCTTTGCAGAAAATGTCTAATAAGTGTTTTTCAGGGTATGGCTGGGACGTGTTCTGTGTTTTGTGACCCCGAATTTATGGCACTCTCAAATGCATCCTGCATTTTGTTTGTCCTAGCTTTGTTGGTTGTCTTTGTTATGCTGCTGTAGGAACTGGGGAAAAGATTGAGTTACTCGGTAGGATCAGTGTGGTCTCAAAACAGATGCAGCAGACTTGGAAGCAGGAGCTTTGAGGCGGACGTGCCTACGTTCATCTTTGGAACCTGGGGAAGGCTTCGGACACCCAGACACTGTGGAGCCCAGGACTGGCCCAAGCTCAGCTAGATGGTGTGTCAGTCTGTTTGTGTCCGATGGCCACTCAGTGCTTGCGTAACTGTGGGCTGGCTTCTTCAATTCTCTGCCTCTGTTTCCTCTCCTCTAAGCTGGGGATAAGAGTAGTGTCTCCCCGAGGTCCTAGGAAGAGTTTAGCAAGAGGGCGAAGCATAGCACCGGGCACATATACTCATGCATGTCAGCTATCACTGGTTTATTAAGTATAATAATAATACTTACTATTATTATTATCATTGCTTTTCTTGTTATTAATAGCCGACATCTGAGGAGCACTGGCTTGGTGGGCTGGAAGTCACACAGGACTGGGAATCAGAAAGCCGGTGTCTGGTCTTGGCTGTGCCCCGGGGGCCATGTGCCCTTGAGAAAGTCACCAGGCTTCCCTCCTTTTCTCTATTAACTGGGGGGAGCATTTGACAAGGCTCTCTCCAAGGGTTGATTTTTTTTTCCTTTCAACCTGCAGGAGGCGCCATGGCCCCACAGCTCAGCCCCTGGACTCCCCACCCCACAAAGCCCAACTTGACATTGAAGGAGGAACCCTAGGTTGCAGTCCACTCCAAAATCCATTTTCCCCACTCAGCACAACACCGAAATGGGACTGACTTGGTGTGTTTGTTTACACCCCTTGGGAACTTATTTCCCGTTCACTTAATTACCTAATACTCAGACATTGCTGTGCAAAATTCGCCTCAGATACATTTTGTAAAGTCATCTAGAAGCATTCATTTGGTGCTTTGATTAAAATGTGCAATCTTCCCCAGGCTTTGGCATGTCGTTAAATAATCGCACCTCCAGTGAGAAAGTAAACAGCACACTCTGGGGCACAGAGAACAAGATAAATGTGGTGCGCATCCAGCAGATATTTTATACTCCATCCCCCAGGCAAACAGATGATAGCTGGGTCAAGTGCTGTGCGGATGAATGCCGCCTTTCGGTTGCTTGCTTCTTGCTATCTTGTTGGGAAGAAGCATGACCCAGAAGCAGAGCAGAACCCCTCTGCCCGACCTTTCCTGCCTCCATATCTGCTTGACTTGGACCCAGTCTTGGAGAGTGAATGACCAAGGTTTGATAGCCCGCTGGAAACCTGGCTCAGCCCCAGGCTCTTCCGTAACTGCTTTGCACTCACTGTGCAGGGGTCAGGGGGCTGGACGCGGGACCCCCTGCTTAGAGGGCAGATGATGCCCTTGAGAAGTTGCCAACTTTGAGCCAGGCCCCCACCTTTCTCAGTAATTAGTGATATTGACCTTCAGCATTTCACTTTACATTTCTTCCTTCTTTTTCTTTCTTTTTTTTAAAGATTTATTTATTTATTTTAGAGAGACAGAGAGAGAGAGATCAAGTCGGGGAGGGGCAGAGGGAAAGACTCTTCAAGCAAACACCCCGCTGAGTGCAGAGCCCGATGTGGGGCTCTATCCCACGACCCATGAGATCATGACCCGAGCTGAAACCAGGAGTCAGACACTCAACTGATTGAGCCACCCAGGTGCCCCTTTTCTTCTTCTTCTTTTTTTTTAATAAAATGAGGAAGCTTGGCATTGCAGATAGCCCTAGGTGAGATTCACTTGCACAATGACCTTGAGCAGGTAATTTATAAATACCTCCCTGAGACAGTTTTTTCATCTGGAAAAAGTGGCTGAGAGTTGACATGAGAATTAAACCACTTGAGATAATGTGTTTGATGCATGGCACACAGAGATTGTGCCTGTTGGGGTGATAGTGTGCTGGTTTGGAATGAGTAAGGGTCAGAATTGGGTTTGAATCTAGGTTCTGTCAATTTTTAGCTGTGACTTTAGGCAAGTTGCTTATTTTCTGTGGGTCTCCGTTTCCTAATCTGTGAACAGAAATAATAAATACTCATTAGGCAAGAGGAAGATGACATTAAATTAAATGAGGTGATCTATATTACATACACATCTACCTGTCTGCGTAGAGTAAACCCTCCATAAGCGCTATATCATCAAAGTGATGGTGATGACCGATGGCATAATGAGCCAGTTCTGAGCCCCAGAACCTTTGGGAAGTCTATCCAAGATGATGCCCCAACCACTGTGGTTTAAGAAGAAGCTGAAGGAAGCTGGCTGATGAGGGTGTTTATGGGAAATTCTTTTCCCTAGTGTTCTGACTCCAAGGTATGGGAATTGAGAGTCTAATCACCAAACAGACATAGGTCCTTCCTGGATTTTCCTTCTTGTTCCACAGGGCATAACAAGGAACCTAAGGAAGTAGGGGGGAAAGAGGAAGACCATCTGACGCCTTCCCAGTTTGCTATCTATCTATCTATCTATCTATCTATCTATCTATCTATCTATCTATCTATCATCTATCTATTTATCTATTTATCTATCATCTATCCATCCATCCATCCTTGATCAAGCTCTCACTATGTACTTTCTAGTTTTGAGGTTTTAATTTAGACAAATGGCATGGGACCATCTCTCCTCTCCCATGTGTCTACTTGCATCTCCAAGCTGACACAGGAAAGATTTATTCCAGGCACAGGATGCTGGAAGCTTTCCTGTCCCGGCCTCCCTGGGTCTGGGGGAGACATGGTTGTATCAGGGCAAACTGAAAGTGGATCTCCCCTGCCCTTCACCATCTACCCTAAGGTTGCCTTACATGTAGATGAAAGCAGAGGCAAAGCTATTTGAGAAAGTGAATGCTTGAGAATATGAAATTCCGAAGACAAATTAATTTGGGCATGACTACAACATATTTTTTCCCCCAAAGCTAAGTAAGACATAAATCTGATCCTTAAGAAGTTAACATAACTTAAGATCTAGAAGCCATGTTCCTTCTTATCTTGGGACCTTGAACATGCTAGTAATACATGCTTAATTCATCCTTACCCTTTGCAACACTTAATCAACAATGTGACAGATGATATATCATCAATTGCTCAATGTTCAATGGAGTGTAAGCTCCAGGAGGGCAGGGATCATTCATACTACAAATAGCTACAATTCACCTATATACATTCCAGGCACTGTTTGAGCCCTGCAGATGCACTTTGCCTCATAGAACTTTCAGTCTCATTCCAGGGATGGGAATAAATGGTATTACTACTACTTAATATGGTGGTTGGGTGGCATTCAAGATTTCTGAAAGATGTGAGGGACCGTATCATGAGGATATCTGGAGAAAGAGCATTTGGGGAGAGGGAATGGAAAGTGCAAAGGCCTTGAGGCTGGAACATGCTTGGTATGTCCAAGAAGTAGCAGGGAGATGAATGTGGTTGATGCAGAATGACCCAATTCTAGAGTGGTGGAAGATGAAATCATAAAAGTAGCAGGTGGCCCTGGCTATTATTCTGAGCCAGAGGGGAAGCTGTTTTTGAGCAGAATTGGTAGCATGATCTGATGAACATTTCAAGGATTCCCTTGGCTGCCATGTGAACAGACTGCCATGAGCGGAGACTAATTTCCTATTACACAGTCCAAGTAAGTGTGGCTTAGACTAGGATGGTAAGAAGCAGATGGTCTACATATCCTGCAGGAAGAATGTTGAGCAGAGTACCATGTACCAGTTATCAATCCTGGGGAAGAACTCCAAACACTTCTGCCCACTGCATCTTGGTTTTGAAATCACCAAGGAAGACACAACGCAGTCTAGCACTGCGTGGAATGATGCTTTACTTATGGAGACAAGAGGCAGAGCAAGATCAGCTCCAATAGTGTGGATCAGTCCCTCGTGGCAAGCAGGGCCTCCCAACAGCCAGCACACGACAATTGCCTATGCACACCCCTCTGGTGCTGCATTGGAAGGACCTCAACCTCTCTCCCATGGAGCTGGAAATAATGGAAGCTGGGGGCATGCCTGAGGACCACTGATATACACGCTTAAGCAGAATAAGGGAACACTCACTGTGCCTGAAACAGGGAAAGATATGCCCACATGAGAAATGGTAAGCCCGCACAGGCTGTGCCCACTCTGTAATCTCTTGGTAAGGAAGCATTCCAGACCCAAAGCCCATTCTTTGAACCCAAGTGGAGGTAGAAAGACTGCATGAAATTGCCTTTCCCAACAGTCTGTAGGATTTGTTGTTTGAGTGTTGGGACTGGCGGGGAGGAGGCAAGAAGGACTCCAAGGCTTTTAGGTAGAAAACTTGAGGTACCAGTTACTGAAGACTGGAGGGGCGCATGTGTGTGCATGTGTGTGTGTGCATGAGGGTGATCAGGAGTTGGGTTTTGTTCCTGTGGAGTTTGAGGTGCCTATTAGAAATCTCACTGAGATGCAAAGTTGAGTTTTGCAAAGCTGAGTTGTCTGGAATTTAGAGGAGAGGTCTAGCTGGAGATAGAAATTTGGAAGCCATCACTGTACATGAGTTTTAATGCCCCTAGACTAGATGAGATCCCTCGATGGGAAGGCAGATAGGTACAAGGAAGCTGAGGGCTGAGTCTGGGTCCCTTCAAAGTTTAGAAGTCTGGGATACGAGCCAGGACCAGGAGAGAAGACCAAAAAGCAGTAGCCAGTCATGTAGAAGGAGAAGTTAGAGAGAAAAAAAACATTCTGGAGGCAAATCGTAGGAGGGTTTTAGAAAGAAGGGAGGGACAAACTTTGTTGAATGTTTCTGGGATTAAGTAAGATGAAGACTGAGAACAGACCATGGGATTTGGAAACCCAGAAGTTATTGAGGACCTGGATAAGAACTGTTTTGGTGGCGCTATGGGCAAGCCAGTCTGGGAAGATTGGGTTCAAGAGAAAAGGGGGGCAGAGAAATGGTAGGAACTGGAAGGGAGTGAAGAGTCAGGAAGGCTCTTTTCCCTGCCCTCCCCCCCCCCAATCTGATAGGAATGATCAAGAAGAGAGGGGAAAATGTGATGATGCAATGGGAGGGAGTGATTGACTGATCAATGACTTGGGTATTGAAAAAGAGAATGAAGATACAGGTTCAAGTGGAGGGGTTGGCTTTAGACAGGAGCTTTTTGGTTCATCTATGGTAGTGGGAGGGAAGGCAGAGTATACAGGCCAGATGCCCCGAGGCTAGTAGATGTGTTGTTGGGAGTCTGCAGAATTCTCTTCTGATTGCTTTTATTTTCTTAGCTGAGAGTGAGGAGCAGGCAAGAGAAGTTATAACACGATTGTTTAGTTCTCTGATCGGATTTCCTCAGAATTACACCGGGCAGGAAAGTTGATGAATGAATGACTTGGGAAATGTGGTAGGATCGCAGATAGCATTTGGGCCCATTGAGCTTGGTTGTCACGCATTCCAAGTGAGCCAGTCAGAACGCTTGCGTATTTTTCTCCCACCAAGTTCAGTTGCTTGGATGAAGGCTCAGAATGGTTAAGAAAGTGAGATTTGGTAAGTGTTGTGTTTTTCTCCAGATGTGTGTTAGGGGAGGAGGAAGAAAGGATTTGGAGCATATGCTAGAGAGTAGTGATAACAATACATATCAAGTGTAAGCAGGGTAAGAAGAAAAACAAGGAAATAAAGGGATTAAGGGACAGTAAGCAAGGGGTAACCACCATTGCATTTAGATTACAGAGGGGTCAGTAATTTTTGGAACTAACTAAAGATAAAAGGCAGTGGTTGGAGAGTAGGATCCTCCAAATTAAGATAATGGTGTAGTGAATTACCTGTATGAAGAGATCTAGAGTATGGCTGTGGGAGGGAGTGGCTGAGTTAAGATGAATTAGAAAGGGACTGAAGGCAGTCATGGAACTGAGTGTCCAGGACATTACAGGGGTTTTCTCTGTGGAAAGAGAATTCACTGAGAACCCAACCTGAAATACTACTGGAGAGGGAGACAATGAGCCAGGTGCTCAGCTCTTATGAGGAATGAGGGGAATGTCCGAGGGGTCTATAGATGGCCCCCTAACCAGAGAGTTCGGTCTGGCAGCATGACCTTCGAAACCAAGAGTGTTGTGGGGTTAGGGGTAGAGGTATGGGAGATTGATAAAGATCAGGGAAGATTCCTACCCCACCTCTAGGCCCAGTGGAACAAGGGGTAGGAGAATGAAAAGAACAGCGAGTTCTTGAGAGGACAGCAGAGGAAGGTGTGTCCTTAAGTAGAGCTTTGAGATTTTTTTTTTAAGGTGGGTTCTAGACCCATGGGGATCTGGCCTCCTCCAAGAGCTGCCTCCCTGCTGCAGTCATGTGGCCCCTTCCTGGAATTGTCTTTTCTTTGGCCACAGACCCTTCTGTGATGCAATATATTATAGGGGTTAGCATCACACAGGCTTTGAAGTCCGACTGCCTTGATTCAAATCCAACCTGCATTCTTGCTCCACTCCTTATTAACTCTGTGAACTTAGGTTAATTGATTAAACTTTCTGTTCTTCAGTTTTGTCATCAGAAACACAGGGGTAATAATGGGCTTAATTACGGGGTTGTTGTGAAGATTAATGGAATCAATATAGGCACAGTGCTTGGAATGGTGCCTAGAACATGGTGAGTGCACATATTAGTTCCCGCTATTAATATTATTATTTTTAAAATTAATATCCTGCTCCTGGTGTGTTCCTTATTCTGTTGGGACAGAAAGGGGAAAGAACCATTTAGGGATGCAACTGAAGGTATAGGGATTTTGCTGATAATGGACTATGGGTTCCAGAGGATCCAATGGGAGGATCTGAGTAGTTAAGGGTAGCAGGTTAGGTGGGGGTAGAGGTCTAAGGGATAATATGAGCTGAGCTGAGGGAGTCTTAAGGCTTCTTATGCAGAAATGAGCAGAGATGAAGAGCAAGATGGAATCAGTCCTGTTGGTATCTCAGGTAAGAAGGGCAGGAGGCACAGTGTTGTGAGGGGCAGGGAGCCCTGCAGTTCCCTTCAGGTCTGCTGCTGGGAGGGCAAGGCTGGGTGAAGGGCCATCTTGCCTGGAACTTGGAGGTTCCCTCTTCACATCTGCCAGTGGACATGGTTAGTGTGGTTTGCAGCTGTATCCCTGGTATCTAGCATGGTGCTTGGCACAAGGAGAGCCCCACAACATCCTTGCTAAAGTAATGAAAGACACTTCTGGAGATGAACATACTGTCATGAGCTCCCCATCAGCTCGGCCTCTGCTAACACCTCACACTACCTTTTTTGGAAATCTGACTAATCCCTTGGTCAGATTCTTTCTGAACTGCACCAGGCATCCTGGTACACCTCTGTACCTGTGATGGTCTTGCCTGTAAAACAGTTGTCCTTGTAGCTCACCTCACCCAGAGTTGAGATAAAAGGTGTCATACAATGTTCCCAAAGCTGGGTTTCAGATTGCCTGAGCAGATGCTACTGCTGCAGAATAACCAAAAATGTTGAAATTGAAACCAGAAGGACTTGTTGAGCCTTGCCTTTTTCTGATGGGACAGATAGTTTCTTTTTTCCTTGGCTCAGTGCTCAAGATTTTGTGACATGAAGCCATCCTGCTGCTGTCCCCCGTGGCTGCCCATCCTTACCTGCTGTGGCCGTCTGCTCTTGGGTTATGGGCTGTGCTGATGAGCTCTGATGAGCTCATCGGGGACCTGGGTCCTAGGAGACAACACGTTGCAGACAGTAATCCGGGGGGTCGTAGACTGGATGGAAAATTACCCACAGGCATATGCTGTTTGGCTCGCATACTGTCTTAGAAAATCAGAACATTTTATGTAAAATTCCAGATTTATGGCTTTTTGGGGAAATCAAAAGGCTCAGCCACACTGACTCTGGGATCCTCCATGGCAACTCTTAGCTGGAGGTGCGTCATGACGCCCCCTGCTGGCAGAGCACTGGCTCTCTGAGTCAGTAGAGACCCCTTCATGCATGCTCCTTGTGACTCTAACATTTATATTATAGGTCTGCTTCTCACTGGGCACTGGCATTTAAAACTTGAGCTGCCCAACCTAAATAGAGGGGCATTTGAGGGCATGTGCAGAGTGTAAAGTAATCCGTGAAGGATTAATGACTATCTGGAATATTGATGTGCCGGCCACAGAATGGCACTTGGACCCTTTCTGGCTGTTTGTGAGAGTAAACAACTTACATAATCTCTAAAAAGGAAAAAAAAAAAAAAAGCAAAGACCTAACTAATTGACACATTCTGGTCTTCCCGGAAATTTTAAACTTAAATCAGGAGCATGGGAAACTATTGCATAATATGCTTGAGAACACCGTGGTTATCAAAGTAGAAAAATGCCTGATTCCTCCCCAGCATAGTGGAGAATTTCACAGTTCTCTTTACTCCTTCGTATTGAAACAACACCAATTATCACCTGCTGGACTCTTCGTGGATTTTGTCACTTTGGAAACAAGTCGTGGAGTACTGCATTTTTTGTGTGTGTGAGCAGTGCAAAAAAAAAAAAAAAACTGAACAATCTCGCGACCGAGGTTATTTATTTTTTTCCCCCAAGAACAACTTAGCCCCTGACTAGCTGTGATCTTGGGTGAGTTGTTTAACCTCCACAAACCTTGGTTTTCACCTCTATAAATCTGAAAGTAACAGTTTTACCTTACAGTGTTTTCGTGAGGATTAAATCAACGGTCTACATAGAAGTGCCTGGCACAGAGCTCTTGACACAGGACCAGAGCATGGGGACCCAGCTAGATGGGAAGGCAGGCGCAGGGGACCTTCCTAAAGGAAAGGATCAGAAACATTCACAAAGGAAACGAACCATGTTCACTGAGAAACAACTGGCAGATTTAGAATTCTTATTCAGCAAGAACCCATACCCCGCTCCCAGCCTTCAGAGAGAAATGGCCTCGAAACTGGAGATACATCCCACCGTACTGCAGGTTTGGTTCAAGAACCACAGAGCAAAAGTCAAGAAAGCCAAACAACAGCAGTTAGCTGGGGTGGAAGTCAAGACCAGCTCTTCCAAGAGACACACGGATGCCACTCCAGGAGCCCCCGATGGTGCCCACCCTGCTTCCCTAGTTTATACAGACCACCCCATACCTTCCTTCCAACTCAGCATATGCTCCAATTTTGAGGCTCTCCCAGACCATTCTTTTGGCCACAAAATAGTCCATTTCGGCTGCTGCCGAGATCCTAACATCTACTCCCTATGTCCCATTACGGAATCCCAAATTCTTTCCACAAGCTTCACTGCTAATTCTTTGGGTTCTTCATCTCCACCAAGAACTTAGTGAGCAAAGCCAGACACAAAAGGTCACCTACTGTAACGATTCGCAATGATTCCAGATGAGAGACAGAGTTGGGATCTACGCAACATGGAGGCATTTCAGAAACGGGCTTCACGAAAACGAAAGAAGACCCACAAGTGCCTGTGGGGTGGAATTGAGTGGCAAGAGTCGCTCAACAAACTATTGCGATGGGCATGTTTCATGTTGTAATTCGGATGGCAGGAACCTGCATGTATAAATTCATCCAAAGACACAGAACTGTAATATTGTATAACATACACCACAAAAAAACAATCACGTGACAGGACGAAGCGTCAGCTAATGCCCGGTGGTAACCATTTTGCAATATATAAATGTATCAAATCAACACATCATACACCTTACACCTGTATCTCAGCCAAGCTGGAGACAATTTTTAAATTATATCTCAATAAATACATACAATGAGAAAAAAAAAAAAAAAAAAAAGAAGTGCCTGGCACAGAGCTTGCCACTGAGAAGCTTTCCACTGAATCTTTCTGTTCACGGCATTCATAAGGAAAGACCCCTAGCCAAGGGAGAACCCCTGGGAGGCCCACACAAGGAATCTCCGAGAAAGATGGGGAGAAGGGGACTGAGGTTCTGCCTCATGGAACCAGCCCAGTCTGGAGGGAGGGTGGCTGTTCATCTGCTGGTCTGAGTTACCAGCTCTGGGAGACTTCTTTTCCTTCAAGAACCAGGTTTATAACATTTCTGCTCAAAACAATACTTGCCCCTGGGAAACATGCAAGGAAAAATTCTTTGGCCACAACTCTCTGGCTCTGATGTCTATTTCTTGGGGCCATTTCCCCAGGGAGGCAGGCAGGCCAATCAGCCTGGATTTTCTAAAACAGCCCAAATCTAAGCTATTCCTTCTCCATTGGTCATTAACCTTGTTGAGGTAACAAGCATTTACAGTGCACCTTTTAATTGCCAGGTACTGCATTAGGTTTTTGATACAATGATCAAAGACGTGCCTCTGCCCTCAAGTAGCTGACAGTCTAGGGGAGGATGTGGATAAATAAACAGATGCTAAATATACTGTGACAAGCACTACAATTGGAGTATACTCAGGATGCCATGGGAGTTCATGGGAAGGGCAACAAAATCACTTTGGAGAGATTTGGGAAGTCTTTCTGGAAGAGGTAAGTTCCAACTGAGACATGAAGGATAAATACGGGTTTTCAGGCCAATAAGGAGGGAGAAGACAATTCAGAAAGAAGGAGCAGCTGTGCAAAGAGCCAGGGGAAGGCAACATGGCAGGTTTAGGAGTCCGCCAGTGCTCATCAAGACCAGAGCGCTGTTGAGAAGTCCCACCATCACGTAGGGCTTTGTTTGCTGTACTAAGGAGTTTGAACTTGATCCTTAAATTATTTCAGATACCCCAACATTTTGGGGCCCAGCCTGCATCTCTGAGACAACTTTGCATACCCAGAAGTGACCCACATAGCTCCGCTTTTGAAATGCACGGTCAACGTAGTTGTTACCTGGATGACATAGTCCATGTTCCTGAGCACACACACTTTACATTTTCAGAGACAGTCCCTTTTACACGTGTTTCATGGTCAGAACAATGCAACCCAAATTTTCATTTGGACAAATTAGAATTCACATATTTAACATAAAAATGGCCCACTGCTTCTGCTCCTAATGCTGCCACCACCGATGTACCCATCCTCACATCTCTGAGCTTTTAGGGACTTCAAATATGGCAAGTGCCCATTTCATAGACTTCCAACTCAGGTTTGCAAAATCATGGGTAATACTCTTTGTTTTGCCAAAACTGGATTTGATTTCTATCTTCAGCTCATGCCACTGGCAGGGGAAATTTAATCTTGGTTACATCAGGACAAACTGAACCAATTCAAGGGTTTCTCAGTCAGTTCCCCCTCCCCTATTTCCTCCATGATTGCACCTAACTTCCAGGAGGCTAAAGGGCTGTCCGGCAAGGCTTTGGGAGTGGCATCTGGCTCTTTGTCATCACATCTTCTCTTTGCTTCTACCACTACTGCTCAGTTGTCTCTGCCCTCCTTTGCTGGCCTCCTATGGGATGTCTGATCCCTCATCTTTTCCCTGATGGTTGGTTCATAAAGGCCACTTTTATCTCCACAAGAGGACCTGTAGACACCAAAGATTGAATGGGAAGCATTTGTCCTCTTACCTCATCACGTGGTAAGACCCTTGACTCAATTTCTTTATCATTCTGGCTCCATGGTGGGGTGGAGAACCCTAAGACCTTATTCACTTTCCTAGGCCCCGCTTAGCAGGTGAGCTATGATTCCTTCTTGGAATGAGGGAAGGAAGGCTCTTGGCCTTATGATTCTCCCCCAGTCCTACAGACCTGACCCCAAAGGGACAGGACACAGAGCAGACCACTCATAGGACCACTCATCACTTCACCCTTTTTCCATTTTAGGAGATTTTAATCTAATATAAGTGTTCATAAAAACCAGCTCTAACTGATCATGGGTTCTTTTTGCCTACTTTTTTTGGAAATAAACTTTCTGCTTGGGGTCTTTATGGGTTCTGCTTTGGAACTCCAGTATCCCTTTCTCTCAAACTGCCTCAGCCACAGGTTCAAACATTCATTTTGAAATACAAAAGCTGAGCATGACTTGATTGATTTATTTATTTTTATTGCTGTAACAAGAAACAACCTTCCCCAAGGGCAGTTGGAACAAAACAGTCTCACTGTTGGTTAATGGAAGGTGGGAATAAAGGAGTATCCAGGCAAAATTCTCAAGGATAGAATATTCTTCCCCCCCAAAATGTTACTCATTGTGAGTAATAAACAGGCAGCACTGTTGGGTCTTAAAGTGGGCTGTAGTAGAAAAAGGGGGAGTAGAGTCCATAGTCCATGTGACCATGACATATGTCCGTAAATATAGTCCATGCTGCCCATAGTTTAGAGTACTAGGTGGTACTAGTCTAGAAACTAGGGCCTGTTTACTTTCCTCCCTACTCAGAAGGTATATCAGAATGCAAGAGTGCTGGAAATGCTATGCTAACAAAAACATCCACTCTAATCTCCCTCCCCTCCCCTCCCCTCTCTTCTCCTCTCCCTCCCACTCTCTCCCTCCCTCTCTCTCTCTCTCCATATATATACTCTTTACAAGCCTGTGCACCCAGGAGAAAGTGATGTCTGTTGCTTACTGTGTCCTGTAAGTGCAAAAGGATGGTAACCTCAGTTCTGTCCAGTGAACTCACTGCAAAGTTAGACCAAAACACAGTAGCAGCTTCCTGGTTGTTTGTCTCTGGAAGAGTCAAGCCATGGAGATCCCAGGACCATGATTCCAACATATGGCGTAAAGAGGAAATCTCCTGGTCCTTATTGCGCTGTGTTTATAAAGGCCGAATGGGTATCAGGGACTTCTTCTGAACTCTCTTTCCAAGGTTGGGCATTAAAGTTGTCTGTTTATTTGTTGGCTTGCTTCTTCTAATGTTAACTGGGAGAGTTGAGCTGCCTTGAGCAGAGATAGCATAGACTCTCCACAGTATGCAAATCCTTTGATTAGCCTCAGAGACTGAGCTCATCATGAGCCCCAAACTCAAAGGATGACATTCTAGCTTTGAATGAAAAGTTTACCTTCAAGTGACTAGGACATCCTTGGTCCTTGGAGATCTCTCTGGTGTTTTGCATCAGAATGGCTCTTAGACATTACAAATCTGTTTATTCAGGTCTCTGGCATGGTGTTCTATAAAGGGTTAGCCCAGAGGTCTTGGGACACTCAAACCGTACACATTCGAAAAAAAGGACTGACCCTCTAATCAGGGAGACCTTCTAAGCCCTCAGAGTTTTCTGCCTGATAAGAGAGTCTTTGTATATCTCAGGCCTTGGGCCACCTCAAATAGTTTATGGCCACAGTGTAATTTATGGTGAATGCCTGCTTTTGTTCACCTGGAGCCCTGGGCCATGCTATATCTGCTTCAACTCTGGAGGGGCCTAAGTGTGAGTAGCTAAGGTCAGTCATATGGAAGCTCCATGCCCATGTGTCTGACCTCCAATAAAAACCCTGGACACAAAGGTTCAGGTAAGCTTCCCTGTTTAGCAACACTTCATATGTGTTGTTATGCATCCTTGCTGGGAGAATTTTGTCTTGTCTGTTCTCCTCTATGGAGAGAAGGCAGCTGGACACTCACACCTGGTCTCCCTTGACTCTTCCCTATACACCATATTCCTTTGCAAATTTGAATCTGTATTCTTTCACTGTCATAAACCATAACCATTTGTATGACAGCTTCACTGAGTTTCATGAGTCCTTCTGGTGAATCACTGAACCTGAGGGTGGTCTTGGGGACCCTTGACCCAATTGTAAACACTACAAAGTGCCACCTCTTGCCAAATTTTGGAGTTTGCATGGCCCTTACAATTTCTGCCCCAGTGTTGGCTTAGGGCTGGTTCTTCTTCATATAAACTCTTCTGGAAAGTTAAACTTTCCTTGTGATCTTTGGGGTCCCTGACTCCTTCTCTTCCCCCAAACTTCAGCATCTTTGTTCTGAGACTATCCAATGCTCCAGTCACAGAATGCTCTGACTTCCTCAGTGCCAATTACTCTACTTCCATTTACTTTAGCAATCCTCACCCACTGCTTCCTCCTATACCTTGTTCCTCACTTGGGATAGCTCAACCTACAAAACCATATGCTCAGAAATCGAGCCCTACAACCCCACAGGGCCAGATGTTTAGGAGCATGAGCCTTATAGTCAGAGAAGTCCAGAGTGATTTAATTTCTCCGAACTGCAGTTACTTTTCAGTAAAATGAGAGAGGACTGAATGAAACCTTATGTGTAAAGCTTTTAGCATAATGCCCAGGGCATACATGCCAGGGATTGTGGTAAAGGCTACTATTACCAAGCTTGTAATGGATAATTTTATGTGCCAACTTGACTGGGCCATGGGATGCCCAGATATCTGGTTAAACATCATTTCTGTCTGTGAGGGTGTTTCCAGAAGAGATTAGCATTTGAATTGGTGGACTCAGAAAAGCAGATGGCTCTCCCAATGTGGGTGGGCATCATCCAATCCACTGAGGGTCTGGATAGAACAAAAAGGCAGAGGAAGACTCAGTTTTGTTTTGTTTTTTTTCTCTGCCTGTCTACTTAAGCTGAGACCCTGGTCTTCTCCTGCCCTTGGACTGGTGTTTACAACATCAGCTCTCCTGGGTCTCAGGCTTTCAGACTTGGACCCGAACTACTAGCTTTCCTAACTCTCCAGCTTGAAGATGGCAGATCATGGGACTCCCCACCCTCCACATTTGCTATCACATGAGTCGATTCCTTATAGTGAGATTTACAAAGAATTGGTTCTTTTTTTCTGGAGCACCTTGACAAATACAAAGCCTTATGCTTAAATCTGGGCTCTCTATATTTGACACCTGATTCTGCAGCCTGTCAGACCTCTTTTGACTTTGCCCTTCTTCCCTCCCAAGGCTAGATTAATCACCCGTCTCTGTAAGGGCACTCTCACCCAAGCCCTCATCTCCCTCATCTCCTTGTCCTTCCGTGGTTATGCCTCCCTTCCATTCCCAGTGCTGTGTGGGTTCCACTGCTTGTTTCCTCTCTCCTTGTTCCCAGGCTGCTGGACAGCACTAGAGAAAAATCACAGAACCATGCTGAACTGGCTCCATTACACGTTTATGAGCTTCCCGGCCTCTGCTGGGCTGCGAGTGCTGCTCAGCTACCTTTTAATGAGCTCTAGTTGACTTTCTCCCACTTTCCCTTCAGTAGATGTCTCTGACCCCGCCCCGCCCCATCCAACCCACCATCACCCTCCTAATTCCCAGCCCGTGGCCAGCACAAGCTCTACAGAGAAAACAGAGACCATCAGAAGTGACTGATCTCACGTAT